GTAGATATCAACTTTATGCAGCTCTAGAATGTGTCGATTTATTTTCAATGTGCAAGTGGAAGATATGATGGCTGTTCCCTTCAGCAATGTATCTGTGTATGTTTATGTAAATGATATTGCTCCTTTAACTGGGTCCACGTTGGTTCCAGATTTTCATCATTGGCTGAGGTGGATAGTTATATCTAATGAGCTTCTTATAAGACCAGAAGATTGGTTCCTTGTCCTATGAAACCTGAGAAAAATGTGCTTCAGAATGCTAATGTTAAACATAATCTGATACCTAGAATAATTCAGTGTAAAATACTTAGTATTTGGATATATGTGCTGCCTGGGCTTACCTACTATGGTATGCTGTTATTCTTGTATTCTGAAGGAACATAGTGGGTACTGACCTATTTTGCCATGCCAAAGAATTATTAACACCAAGAGTATGAAAACGATTTTGTGGGAAATGGTTAGAAAATAAATTGTGATAGCACAGGGAAATAATGTATTGATATAAGAAAACTGTAGTAGTCACTCTAAATGTGGTTTTAAATTCAATTTCATATTTTATATTCACAGCACTTTAAATACATAGGTGGATACCTGATCCAATTTTACATGTCTCTTAACTTGCATCTGGAAGCGTAATCAGAAACAATAGAATGTAACTTAACAGCTGCCGTGGTACATTAGCTGAAGGGCTGTGACTGGCCATTCTTTTCCTAGTCTGTATTACACAGTGATTTTGCAAGTCTGTCAAGTTTGAGGGCAGGAGCCATGAGGGGGCTTGTCACTCCAGGGCATAGTTTCTCAGTTCTTGATTCTCAGACTGGAATCCCCAGTACTAAGTTAAGCAGTGAGCTTCCCTTATATGTGGGTGGGTGGAACCTTCTTGGAGAGGAAGGTCTCTGGGAGGAGATGGTGGGCTTCTGAGATTGTGGGCCAAGGCGTGTCTTGTGGATCTGAACTTTTGTCTGCATGGGACTTTCATAGGTGGCACTAACAACAAAGAGATTACTTGGTTGCTTTCAGGAGGATAGTAAAAACCGCACAAAATTCATAGGTGAACTTGGAAAATTGTGCAGAAGAAAATAGGAGTAAGAGAAGCAGGCATGTGGCTGGTTGGGAGGAGGCAGGAAGCAGCGGGTAGTTTCATTGGAAAAGATTGTTGGTGTTACTTTCAGAACCATGTAAAACACAGGCCTTTTCAAAGGTTAAGTGCTTTTGCCACTTGAATGGTTTAAAGGCCTTAACTGAAAACAATACTTTTCAGTGTAGATGTGGAGAAAAGCTAAGGCAAACTTATTTCAAAAGTGTAGGAGAGCTTATAGGAGGGTACAACATTCATACAACTTTCTGGGGTTTTTTGGTGCTTTAGTAAGTTTTAATAACTGTAAGAGTGAAGGGTTCTAATATTTGGCTTGTATGCTGTGCTTTGGTCTGTCCAAGACCTTGCAAAACTTTATGGAGATATGCAGTCTTGTCATTTTTTTACAATTGAGGAAGCAGAGAGCCTTTCTGTTCTCTAGGAATTACTTTTGATTTATTGATAGAATTACACATTGGTGGATTATGCAAGTGAGCATTTCTGGTTCTGTTATAGTAGTACATTTTTAATTTAAAAAAAAAATGGCTAGCTAGTTTATCTTTGAACTTTTAAAAGAAGTGTCTGTTACTTATAGTTACTACTTTTAAACACATCACATCTGTTTTTCTCTCTTCATTTCCTTTGCATTTACAAGAGTGTAATATCTTAACTTTTTGGCAGCATTGTTGATTTCTTATAATGAAAAATGAATCGGACGTACTCTGACTTCTCCCCAGCCTTCAATTTTCTTTTCTGCATTTTAACCATTTATAATTTAGGTTATAAATAATAGCTTAGGTAAGAGGGCAAATTGATATTTCACATTTACTTGTATGAATCTGAGATGATGAAGAATCAGAGATGCTGAAACAGTTACCTTTACTGCAAGCAGCATCAGTACCTTATCTGCCTCCCTGTTCAGGGTGCTGAAAGATGTAACTTAAATTTTGGCCTTTAGAGTAAATTAGGGGAATATCAGAAAAGATGATGTAGTTGTCCAAAAGCAGACAGGAAACTTGGTTTCTGTAATACTTCCAGAATGACAAAATTTCTCTATCACTTTAAGCCCTGCCTATATTTGCATTCATAATAGTATGCTAATACTGAGTCTAAATTTCTTACCACTTGACTGAAACTTGGTGAAAATAGTACATGGGAGAATGAAGAGTGATGAAAAATGAAAATTTTGTAAACAGGCTTTTGTTGAACAGCGAAATACATTAAAAGAAACTTCTGTGAAACACTTCAGGTATTTTGACATTAATTAACTTTGAATTATTTTAATACTAATTTGTGTGTTTAAGTTTTTTGCATTATTAAAAACTGTCATACAGAAATTTCATTATTCAGTTTATCAGATAAATTAAAATAATTTAAACCATGGTTTTCTTACTTGCTTGAAGGCTGTAGAGGAATATGAACAACTGAAGGCTGTACCTTAATAATATGAGATCTGCTTAAAAAAAAAAGGGCCGAGGAAAGTTGATTAGTATCTCTATGTGCCAAGTATGAAATTGCCTAACAAAATGTACCTTTGGAAATAGTGCTTCTCATAATTTTGTGATGTTCCATGTGGAAATATAAGGAAATGGTTTTAAGTTTTAGTATAAAAAACGTTGTTATCTATTCTTCCTTGATGTTGGTTCATTGTAGCCTTTTACTTAAGAGCAATAATAAACTTAAGAATAAGGCTCTTATGACTATTAGTACTTATGGCAAAGTTAACAAGACAAAAGGAATTGCATGTAAAAAAGAAAATGTAGCCTTGGGGAATTACAGTTTCTGTGCTATTCATTTTTGATTCATGTTCCTTTCAATGTGTGGTTGTGAAAGCTTCATTGCATTACTGTAATTACATTCCTGAAAGGATTCAAATGTAGAAATGAACCTGTTCACTGCATCCACTGGACACCGAAAGGATTTGAACTATCTAATGAAGATTGAGGGCTATACAGGGTTTCTGCTTTTGGGCTTTTGTTTTTAGTTGTCTGCTAGTCCATAGAGTCGGCTCAAGACTGGCTTCTAGAGGCCCCTTCTGCACTGCTGTCAGGCAGTCCTGCTCCAGAAGTGCCTGTGCCTGGGGCCAAGTGTGACACTGCTGGGGAGCTCGCTGCAGGACCAAGGACCGGCTGTCCCTGTGAAGCTTTAACAGGGAATAGTATTGACAACAAGCAAAACTTTCTTTTCAGCTTTTAATTGACTGTTATAAGTAAATTCTTGGTACATAAGACTTTTCTTTATACTTTTTTAATGTGCATATTTGTTAGATTTTATTTAAATAATTTTATACACAATATTGGAATAATCTGTTACATTAATGCACAGCTTAAAACAGTTCTTATTTACACTGATCACAGAAAGACAGAGGAATGAGGACAAATACTTTACATTCACCATCTTTATCAGCATTTTAAGTATAGTTAACCAGCACACATCACACACATCCATATCCATATTTATAAGAAATGTAATTATTTCTAATTATGCGCATGGGCATGTAGGTGTCTCCCTTTCAAAAATTAAAAAAAAAATAAAATTGAAATGCCATTTCCCCCAGATAACCAAAGATTTACAAAAAAGGCAAATGGACCTGCAGATTGCACAATTAATGGAATCAAGCATGGAAGTGTGGTGGCTGTGTTTGGACACTTTTGGTCACTGGGGCACTCTGGAGAGTATTTCTACTAGTGGCAAGTTTTGAACTCCTATGGAAAGTTATTCCTGAAAACTACAATATGATCTGTTGCTTTGTAAGTAGACCTACTAGACACTTAACACATTTGGTTTCATGTTAAGTTATCTAACAACACAAAATTGCAGCCAAAGGATGCTCTGGATTTATTTATTTATTTATTTTTAGAATATAAATTAGAAACCCACAACTTCCTTCTATGAGATTAAGGCAGCAATGGAGAATATTGTGCTACAATGTGCATTAGCTGTAGATAGTGTTCTATTCTCCTTTATCACGTTTTTATATTTATAATCAAAGGCCAACATATTATTGATCTAGACTGGCTGACTACAAAATCTTGTAATGGAGAAATAGGTCCTGTGTGATAACCTTGTTACATCAAAGTTGAACTTCTCGCCTTACAATATACAATTATAGTCTATGAAAATTAAAAAAACTGGAAAAATTTTAAAATATTTCCTATACAGAGGTACCATTACCTTAGATAAAGTCTAGTCACTGCTATAAAAAGGCATTAAAAATTAAGTAAAACACTGGTGTAAAACAAGTAAATGCTCACTATAAAGCTTTTATTTGTAAGGCAAATCTTCATCAGACCTATTAGAAGTTATTTCAAAACGTACTATTTGGAGATTCTCTCTTTGTAACTGACATTACCCACAGCAAACAAAAGCTGAGTCTTGCAGATAGGTTCACAGAGTCCAACATAAATTACAAATGCAGGTCATCTGCAAGTTTGAGCCCCTTGGCAGTGACCAAGAAACAACATGAAACCTTTAAAAGAGAGCCAGCTTAAGGCTTAGTAATTGTTTTAGTTCACTGAATTTATTCTGTTCCCTTATCAAAGAAATTAAGCAACTTTGTTTAGTATAGCAGCTAAAGAAACGCCTTTAGAAAGGAGGAAATCAAAGCACAGCACACAGGTGGCCTAATCTTTCTGTCAGTGCTTTGGCAAAAGAGTCCCACTGTTCTCAACATGAAAACTACTGGCAGTGATGGTTAACTTACAGGAAGGTTGTGCTGCTGGTCTGAGACTTAAGCCTCTCAGTTTCTCCCCTTCTTGGCTACCCCCAACCACTTGCATCTAGACACCTACATGATGTTCTAAGGAGGACAGCTTCACTGAATACAATCATGATATCTGTGTTACTTACAGTCTTCTGGCTGTCTTCTGTTTTTCTGCGTGCTTCTGCTAGCTCAGTCATACAATGATTGCAATTTATCTAAACATACTCTGGTTTTAAATGGTGAAAGAAAACTGATCAAATTCTGTACTTAAAAGCAGCTATATTACACTGTTACGTGTTTCTGCTGGCCATCTAGTTCTCTATAGTAGTCTGATGCATGTAGATGCAGCTAAATTCAGTCTTGGACAGTGAACACCACTGTACAAATAAATCATCTGTTAAGGATCTTGGTCCTCTGCTGACTACATTTTTATAGCAACAATATGCAAAAATCCGAATTTTTTTGGCCTAGGAAAAGTTTCTATGTGTATGGTGTGGCTTACGAGTCTTGTCATTCCCCAGCTAGGCTTAAGCAGGCAGAACAAGTAATTGTACATCACAGCTATGAAACACATGCATGCCTGCTCTGTCAGTCTGAGTGGTCTTGGCTGGCTGTCAGCAAAAACTGTCCTTTGAGAATATGGGTTAGAGAGGGGCAACTGCTTGGTGAAGTGTTCCAGTTGAAGTCTGAGTTACAACAGAAATGGCTGAAAAAACCTATTTTCCACAGCACAGAAACACTCAAATGGGTGTTTGAGACACAACTATTCTCTGTATATGATCCTCTCAAACTCAGTGATGCAAGGTCACAGATGTAACGGGGCTTAACTCATATAAATTATTAAGTTCTAAAAATTTTTTCAGAGTGCTTTGTGGTATCCTGTAATAGTGATACCTTTTTCCTCAAGGAATGCTGAATGTAGCTGGCTTTCTTGTCTACCAGATGATACTAGTTCAGTAAATGAAGATCTGTAATAATTCAGGTGTCCAAGCTGCTCTCACATTCATCTCTGTATGGTGATTTCTGGCCAGCTTTGCTTACAATAGTCCGTATGCTACTTTCAGCTTGCATATAGATATGAACCTAGTAAGGTCACTTCAAGGTCCTGTTTCTGACTTTTGTCATGTATTATAAACAATTTAGCTTCATATTCTAACCGTTTAACTTTCCACTGATTAACTAGGTCAGCCCACAGTCACCACCAGGAGCATGGCTATGAGTCAGAGGGAAGTAGACTGAAAAAGTGTTTCCCTTTGGAGGAGACTTTCTGGAGGTGTTTCCAGATCTGTCTCCCTGTATTATATCCAAAAGACTCCAAACTTGTTTAAGGGTCTAATCTGAAAAATCATGTTGGCCTTTAAGGAGATTGAGTTCTTGCACATAGGCTGATCTGTGGACCATAAATATTCTTAGCCCTGAGAAAATAAAATGTATTAGAACAAATATATCCTGTTTTACTGCTCCGAGGGGCTCAACAGTGCACACATAATTTCTGCAGGTAGATTATACGTTGTCATTTGTTAAGCTGTGCTAACTGTCATGTCTGAGTCCTTCGGGCCCATTTTAAAATGTTTTAACATTTGCAAGTCTCATCTCTTTTTGAAATTGCTGATCTCTGGTTTTCATTTGGTTCTGAGGAAAGAAATTCTTAAATGCTTGCTAGTGCCTCATGCAACTTAGTGAATCAGTCCAGAATACGAATGAAAGCTATCTACTCCCATAAAAGCAAGTATCTGCTAATTAATACTGTATGAATCAGAAGAACTGAAAAAGAGACATTAAAAGCAAAAGAATTTTCTACGTAGCCTCCTACAACCTAACAGTACAAAATAAACTTAATTCATGTCAAAACAATAGCATAAGAAGTGGATGTATATACAAAATGTTTGGGCTTGACCTTTTTAAATAATAGCATTTAAATGGTATTTTGCTGAGGAGAAATGACCAATTATAGGAAATTTCCTCTGGGAAAATTACATAAAACATGTATTGCACGTGCAGTTAGGGAATGTACAATAGTTAACAGCCAAGTATTTCTCCTACATTCTATATTTAAAATATCATGTTTGATCCTGGATTTCCTGCAAAATCCTTCACTGTGGTAAGACGTCTTTCAAGTGTTGCCAGGGTGTATGCCTCAGGACATGACAGAACACCAGAAGGACTGACAAGAAAGATATGGTTCAAACAGGGGCCAAACACTAAATAGCACTAGTGCTTTTTGGACTGTTGCCCATGAAAGGCCTACTGTTTCGACCAGAAATCTAAATCTCTGGAGTTTGTGGTGTAGCTTTAGAACAGTACCAAGTATATGAAGAATTATCCTGATGAATGAGAGCAGGAGGGATACAAAGAAAATGGAGGATTTCTTTGTCCTTGGTGCTAACTAACCTTCTATGGCTTGATGAAAAAAATATGGATCACAGGCAGGTCTCTTTCACTAACAGGAAGGAGGGTCAGAAGAGAGATGCTAATGTATGACAGTAGTTTCCTTTACCAGATTAAAAAAAAAAAAGGCTTTTGAGAAAATAGTTTCTAGAACTGTCAAGTGAGCTGTTTAATTGTTTCACTGAATTCTTGCCACTGGCTTGTTACAAAACAGCCAACATGATTAGCAAGCAGATGATACTGCATCTTGAATAAGCTTGTATCAAAAATTTTCTTTTTTTAGAAGTGGGCTTCCTACTCCACCAGCATATACTTGCAATCCCATGGGGATATCTGGAAGAACATTGGTCCCTGGAGCAGGTCTGTTCCCACAATAGGTATAGCTGAGGGAAAGAGTGGGCTTCTTGCCTGAAAATTCAAGATTGAGTTAGAGGAAGACTTGTAGTTAAACCACATGGGTGACAAGGACCTTGCTGGGTGATATATATATTTTTTTTTTTAAACTACAAGTGGTTGAACTGAAGGGAGAAGAGTATCTTAGTGGCATTTGATATTTTCCATACTGCAAATGTATTTGGGAGCTCAAAGCAGGAGGACCTGGATGCCTGAGCTGTGGTTTCTTATTGGACTGCCTGTACCATATCACTGAATGGAGGAAAAGAATATAACCTGGTCTTCACAAAGGTATTTGTCATTTGAATGGATGCTAGCTTGTGTCTAATGGCATCATTTATTGTCCAAGAGGCATGAGGTAGTTGAGCATCTTATTCTGTGGAGAATTGAAGACGTTATTCTTCATTTCTGGGACAGAAGTCCTTTATTTTGTGGGAGACTTATTTTGGGCAACATCCTGAACTTAAAGCCTAGCTGTGTGGTCATGCAGTGTGTATTATCTTTTTCATTTGGACTATTCCTGGTAATAAGATTCCTGCTTTCTCTGATTTGCTATTGTCTTCTGTATAGATTGCAAGTTCTTTATCTATAAAACCTCAGAACAAGATGGCAATAGTGCAACAGAGTCCTGAGCTATAAACACTACACTAAACCTAAGATGCTATACAGTAATAAAAATAAAAATAATGTAGCAGGTAATTGCCTTGGGATTTGGTATTAAAAATGCAATCGAACCCTAACATGCTGGGTAAAGCTGATTTCAGTCCCTGTTAAGATATTTCAGAGCAGACTGGTGATGAAATGTAAGTTTTCCTGCAAGGGTTTTGCTTTACAGATGGTGAGGATGGGGTGTGTCACAAGTGAACATTAATGCAGTTTGTCAGCATTTCCAAACATGAGCGATCCAAATCATGTATAATGTCACAAGCTATTAAAGCTCCATGTTAAAGAGCCCCCAAGAGTTTCAAAACTTGGTAATTATATCTATGCTAAGAAGCTTTTGAGTCATGCCAAGTCAGTGACTGAAGCATCTGTATTATTGAAAAGTAAGCTTTACAACAATGAAAAGATCCTTATGTAGTTCAGCAAACAATAAAAATGGGATTACTTATGAAGTTGGTGGGATGGCTTTTTTGAAGGCCTCGACATATTTTCATTGTTTGGCTTCTTGTATAATTACAGAACTAGAACCACAACATTTGAAATTCCTTTATTATTGAAATGTATTTAATAACAGGGTTTAAACAGCTATTGGCCATCAGCTGGGTCAGAAAATACGATTTCCTTTATAATTAGAAGACAGTAGTCTTTAGGTTTAAAACCCTGTTTAAATAAAACTACTATTTGTCACAGAGAATCTTTAAGAAGAGGACTATACTTGATATGTTCGAAAGTATTGATTACGTTGGAGGAAAGGATGAATAAGGAGAGAAACTTCCCTTCCCTTATTTTGAACAGAAATCAATGTTAAATGGAAAATGTCAAAATCACTTGGGGCTTTTAAACTGGACCATTTAAAAGAAGGGGGGTGGGGTGGGGAAATCCTTCAACAAAAATTGTTTTATAAAAAAAGCGCCCCATCTTTTTAAATGGTCTTTTTAAAAAGAGGAAGTATACATACATTTAAAAGACAAGCTGAATTGGATATATAAAGGCAAAAAGAAAAATCAGAGGTAAGGTCCAGAGGTAAGCTCTGGGCTGGATTCAGCTGAGAAGCTGCTGCCTCTGAAAATGACTGTAAATCTAGTGATAAATAAGTACAAGAAATAACTCAAAGCTACTGAATCTAGTGGTCACTGGGAAAATACTACAGTGGTAAGTGGTCACAGAGTAAGAACAGCACCCAAATGCAGTTTGTTCTCTATCTTCTAACTTGCATAATACTAGCACAGAGAAGAGCTGGAATAGGCTTAGAGAGCCAAGTATGCCTAAAATATCCTTCTAAATTATTCAGCACAATCTTACTATGTTTTGGTAGGTGAATTCAGGTTGAATTATAATAATAGCATGTGCACAGCAGGAGAATAAAGCTGAAGTTTGGTATTTTGGTGCCCCCAGGTAGATTATGTAATTCTCACTTCCTATGTATTTTACATTCTTTATTCGGAACAAAATATAACAAAAAGCTGAAAATCTGTCTATTTGCATGTAACTTTCATACTTGGCTGGAAGAGTGTGGAGTATGGATCATATAATATAGACATTTCAATTGTCGATATAAACAAATATAGTTTTCATTAAGTACAATGTGGTATTAAACCATGTCCTGTACTTAGTAGCTATAACAGGAATTCTGTTCCTGCCGCTTTTCAGCTTGTGTAATTAAACTTGATAGAAAATGGCATGGACATATACAGCAAAGACAGCCTTCTTCACCAAGAGAAGAAACTAATAACAAACCACTAAAACCAAAGCATTGAGTCTTCACTTCAGAAGGATGCAAACTCATATCCCAAAGGATAGTATGGAAAGAAAGTTAATGAATTGTACATAGTTAACATTGCTTTTTCCTCATAATTGAGATGTACTCTTTCTTTAGATCTAAGAACGTTCAGGTGTTGTTGGTTTAAAATAGGTCGTGGCATGAATATCTGAAGTAAATTATTACTGTCAGAAAAGTTTAATTCATTTCACAATAAAAAAGCATTTAACTTATGTTGATTGCTTTTTTTCCTCTGCTCCCCCCTCCTCCACTTCTGCCAATAGCAAAACTCACAAGTTTTGGTCATGTAGGGATCTCATGGCACCAAAGGATGTAAGAAAAATGAAACGGAGTCTTTAAAGATCATTTGAAGCCAAGTAATAGAAGGGAGGCATTGAGAACAGAGAGCAGATGTCTTCCCTCAAAGAGTCAGTAGATAAGCTCTGAGCCAGCCTGGTCCAAGCATAATCGAGGGAGCTTTGAACTTGACTTTTCTGTATTCTCAGTTTAGCTTAACATATTGGCTTTTTCTACAATCTGTTGGTTGTCATATTGTTAGCCAGTGTTGAAGCTGTAAGGGAACAGAAGTAGTTGTTTAATAACATTATTAGTTCAGATGATGGTAGTGAGAGATGTTTTAAATACATTGGTTGAAAAATTTAGAGTTGCAAAGAAGTTTCAAAATAAAGGATAGATTATAACCAAATTTCTGTGGATTCCATTTTACAGTGAGAAATGTGCTGAATATAAAAGCTATTTAGTCAGTTCTCAGTTCGGTTTTAAAACTCAGAACTGCCGAACATCCATGAGAAGAAAATTTTTGTACTTCTTTGGTTACAGAAGTTAATGTTATGTTTACAAACTTAAACATTGTGGACAAAGGAGTAACTATGCTTCAGCAGTAACAAAGCTATTCCTAGCTGTTTGTTGAAGACAGCAACAAATTAATATGACCTAGCGTTTAACATGGTTTGAGGTATCATTAGGAATTTACCCGAGTACATTTTTTTCTAATTTCCATGAAACTCATTGGCTTTCTTTTAGCCATTATACATTTGGGTTCAAAAGATCAGTACTGTGTAGGAATGACTGTTTATAGCCCATCCACACAGGAACATCTGCCTCTGGAAAAACCAAGTTATTACTTATGTCTAGAACATTAAATCTTCAGACAACTGAGGCAGCAACAAGGGAAAGAGAAAGCAGGAAGAGGTGCTGTGCTACTACATATTCTTGGCCGCATCAAATAAATTATAGTCATGAAACAGGAAGCCTTTTCTTCCTGCCTCTATTCTGCATCCCATAAATCTACACTTGGATTATTTCCTTTAAAATTAAAAATTATACTTCAAACAGTATTTTTCAGAGTAATCAAAAGGCAAGTATTTTTTTTCGATACCAACATACAAACCACCACTATAAAATCTGGGTCATGTTTTGAGGTGGTGTGCATAATTCTAGTTGCTTTAAACTTTGAAGACAGAAAATCGTCCAGCATGAATGCTGGTAAGTGTAACAAGCTTCATATTTGCATCCTTTTTATCTTCTACAAAAAGGACTTTATTTCAATAAGCTCATTTTATTTGCTGAAAGGAAAGCAGTATTTGGAAACCTAGAGCATATTTTTTCATGGCTGCTTAAGAAGTCTCTAGCAGTGTTTTCAATCAACTGTAGGCCTGTAGGGAACAACTATTCCACATAACCTTGCACATTATTTCATCATGCCCATTATGTCTAAGCTCTGATACCAGATATTTGTTTGGCTGTTTACTGTGTGTTGTGGTACGTAATTGGAGTTTAGGAAATGTGACTTCAAATTGCTGTGCAATAACTGAGGGAGAGACTATGACCTGTTCAAGTGCACATGATAGTTTAGATATACCTTCGTCTCTTGGTGAGATCTCACTGTGTTCAGGTACAACCTAAAATACTGGATTCAGGTGATCTGTAAAATTGGGGGTTCCACTCAGTCAAAGAAAGAAGGTTTCAAAAGCCTTCCAACAGTTGATGCGTATGGTACTGAGCCTCCTGCATCTTGTCATGCTGGCAGAAATAAAGAACCACAGACCTGCAAAGGTATCCACTATGGGGAGACTGATGCAAACCTGTAGTTGTTGCTAAAGACAGGAAAGGGTTGGTATCAGGAGAGGAAGTGTGGTGAAAGGAGTACAAACCTTAAACTGCCTGACATTTCCTTGGGCCACGAGTTGGTGCTCATTTTCAGGTGTGATGCAGTAAGCTAGTCTCTAAACCAGATGGGAAGAAGAGGAAAAAGTCAGCCATATGAAGTGGGATTATGTCTGTAATCCCCAATCTATAATGGGGAAGTAGCATGAACTTTATTTAAAACGGTAACTTAAATCTTTAATATCACTGCATCATGTGTCTTTAACTTAGTCACTGAGAGAACAAGCTTATTATAAGCCCCTTGGTATTAGCCTTTAATATAAGAAGCAACAGTAGAAAGTTTTATGCAAATACTAAGTCCAAATATTTAGCAAGTGCATATGGAAAAGAACATCAGGAACAAGTTGGTACCACAGGCCTTACATCCCCTAAATTCACACTTTTCTGTTAGTGCTGTAATGGGATTGAGCAGTCCCAGTGAGAGAGGAAGGAGATACTGGCTATTTCCCAGCTCATCTCCTTTGTCTACCCTATGCTGTGCCATTTGGGGTCAAACATAGATTTTGATTTATCATGAACTTTCCCATTAGACTATGAGCATACCTCTCCCCATACTTTAACAGCCACAGTTTTGGGCATCATACCTTATGATAGTTATTAGAATGTAAAATAGTAGCCTTTTGCTATATTTCTGAGGGGGAAACTGGAGAGTTGCTGTCTACAGGAGCTGTAAAAGACAAACCAGAACTTGCTAACACTACAAAATGGATGAGAAAATGTGGTTTTGGCTAAAGGCTGCATCCCAATATCAGTAAACTTGTGCAAGCTGGCAAGAACCTATTGGGCCAGTACAAATTATTCTTCAACACTTTGATGCTACTAGAAAATGGGTTTGTAAACCCCCGGGAATGGAATGAAACAAAGGGATTATAGAACTGCTGGACATGACATCTAGAAATTGTGCACAACGTTGGAATGTTGAAGCTGATGAAATCAGGGCAGATGAAGAGGAGTGCCCACTTCGTGGTACCTTTCTGAGATGAACATGAAATGGGATGACTAATGTTTCAGAAATAAGGCATTTATTCCTTTGGGTCTCCCAGGTCGATGTGAGGGGGATGTGCCTTATTTGGGTAAAGGATGAGATCCTATTTTCTGCTTAATTCTCTGAGTGGTGATTCAGTGATTTGCCCAAGGGTGTCAATATCTTATTACTCCGTTGTGTAACTCTAGCTGTAGGAAAGGTGAGCAATAGAGCTAGGTATAAATCAGAGTGTCTAGATTAGGTTATAAAATTATGATGTGATGGGACAAAAATTGATGCTGTATAATGGTGAAGAGTCTTCTAAGCACCATTACAGGTTTTAAGATAATATAACAGTGATAGTAAAAATTAATATGATTAGTGAACTTTAATCCTGTGCCATTTTGAACTGATAAATAAAGTACAGTGGGGTGAACTGTAAGGAAATACAGATGATTTTTCCCATAGAAGGAGGTACTTTTAAATAGAATACATACATTAATATTACATATAAACATATAAATGAAGATAAAAACACTTAAGTTGTAATGTTAAACACGGCTGTGAGGCACATCATTAGAATAAGATGCTCACAAATTGTTTCTCAGATTCTGCTTATTCAGTGCACAGGCCAGGCATATTATACATGAAGTGCATTTATGTAGTCCAAGATGCTGCTGTCTAATATCCTGGTTCTTTTATTTAAGTAGTTAAAAATCAACAGGCCTGATGAGACCGTAACTGGTGCCTACATCAGATTTCTCTTGATTTCCAGATCTATTTCAGTACCTTGGTCTATCTTGAATATTAAGTTTCTTCATTCTGATATTAGTGATGAACACAATAGAAAGATCTACATTAATTCTAGCCTTGGCAGAATGTTGAAATAATTCCAGTAAATGGAGGATAAGGATACATATATGACAGAGAAAATAAAATATGAAGTGCATGCTGTTATAAACAGAATACTGGTCTAAATGCATCTCTTGCTGTGACCCAGTAAATAATTTCTTTTGTCCTTGCTGGATTCTCATTAAATGAATAAAGGACATCCTGAACACAGGGCTACTTTGGGGGCACATCCCACCCTCCCTTTATGTGGATATATGTTTAGAGGCTCTTCAATGCTAAGATAGGAGAGGTCTGAATTAACTTTGTACGTGTAACAGTTTACAGCACTCTAGTATAGAGTGATAAAGCATAGCGTAGACTGAACTCTGTCTAGGTAGAACTGTGTGAAGACCACACCTCAGAGCTAAACATGAAGCTACCATGATTTGTATATTTTTTTTGTTAATAATGAAAAAAATAATCTCATCAGTTGGATTAATTACATGCATCAAAAATAATTTTTCAGAATTATTATGGTGCTGTCTGTAAAACTAATTTCTATCTAGAAACTAAAACAGTATGCAGTAATCCAACCTCAAAGCTCCAGTCCATCTGATGATTGGATCCAAAAGGTCACTCAAAAGTAATAAGTTTTGGGAGTAAGAGAAACAAACTGCCAACTTAGATCCAGACATTTCGTTTCATAACAACATTTTATGACATTTATGAGCATTCTACTTACTTCTTTAAAGGTCCCACGCACATTCATAAATTTATAGATAATATAGGCAGGCACAAGTATCATTGAAGATAATGCTATTCCCCAGCCAATGCGATTTGCCCAGAGAGGGAAGGTGTAGTCATCGTAGGTCAGTGGTTTGAAATTTATTATGCTGACTATCACAACAAACTAGGGAAGAAAACATAAAAGTGAAAAAACAATTTCATGTGTTTTATTAGGCAGCCACCCTAAGGTATATTTCAGCCTAACTTTACCATTTACTTTCATCCTATTTTGTGCCTCTTACTGCTTAGACTGTTGAAGTTCTTGATGCAATTACTAGTATTAACAGTTCATTTTAGCTACTCTGGACACAGATTATTGGAAATTTTGGTGGAAAAATCAGGTGGTTATCTGCTACTGCCTTATTTAAACTAGTGTTACAGATATAAAAAAAGGATTCTATAGTGAAGAAAAACCTCTTGCAGGATCTATTGTTCTTCCCCTCTTTGTTTCCCAGAGATACTAGGCTTCATTTAGACGTTTTATATTGATTTGCATGATACAAACTCCAGCATGATACATTTATTGAGGAAAGGTCAAGCAGCCTTAAGTCCTGGAAAATAAAGTTAGTATTTTTTTTTCTTCTGGTGTTACCCCATCCAGTATTAGGTGCAAGAAGGAAAGAGTGGAGTACCACCCTATTTCCCTCCTGTTAAATTCATATGGGTTGTGTAATATGCAGAGTTCCTTGATTTGGTTCTCCGGGCCTATATGTTCTGCTCCATTTAGCAATTTCAAATTAGAGTATTTCAAGCCTAGCGTTTCAAAGGCTGCACAAGGAGAGTGATGGTGTGAGTTAAAGGAAGCCAATAGTGTGGAATCTGGTTAGAAAAATAGTATTTCCATTTTGAGATTTTTTTATGGACGATGTATATAGCTGCAGACAGTATGGAGAAAAAGCTTCAAGGAGGTATTTCCTAATATCAGTTACCTGACCAACTCCAACTTAGCTTTTCTTGTATTTATCATTAGGAACTGCTCTAACTGCTCTACCAGTCCCAAACAGGAGTCACCTTGCACTAGGCATGCATGGGATTGTTACAGCAAGAATTATACTGCAGTCTGAGAATTTTATAGCCTTTCCCAAATTATCCTAAACTACCTCTATCAAAGAAACTCTATGTGATTTTTTTCAATTGTATTTACTATGCTTATGGGCTTAGTGTCTTCTGGTGAGACAGTTTGTATGCTTCATACTGGTGGTATAAAAATGTTGTTTCTTAGATCAAATGATCAAATTTATAGAATTTGTAGGTTTTTATTATATAGGCTAATAGTGGACTACCTTTTTTTATGCTAGTGACTATCTTTATAGTTTTCACTTATAAATTAATAAGGTAAAATATTTTGGTCTTTTTATAATGATTTGCTTTATTTCCTTAATGTACTGAATAATGAACCCAAAAGGTAGGCTGTGAGAAGGTAAATTAATTGTAATGTCCATGTTGCCTTTTAGAAGATTGAGAAAATGCACAGCCATAAAAAACCTGCCCAATGTCCCCTAACCAGTGTGATATAATTCCCATGGGTTTTAAAATATATTGATACCCAGTAATTAATTCGGTATGTTCCAAGTTAATGCCTCCAGCTGCAAAAGAAATTGTGCATTGTGATGACGGAAAGATGCATTACCTACAGATTCATTCTGACCCTTATGTTTATAGGCCTCAGTAGGAAGGTATTGGGGCCATTTCACCAAGAAATCTTAAGCTACCTAAGGGTTAGACTGACAGTCACTTCAGCTTTCTCTAGCTAGCTTGTTAAAACTCTTTTTGTAAATTTTAAATTTTCAACAGTCTCCTAGTGTGCCAAACCTGAGGATGCTTGGTGCAGCATTTTTTTTGTTCTTCTTGAGTCAGCGTGTTTGAAGTTCTGTGGGATATAGTTCCATACAAGCTTCTTTATAAAACAGTGTTTAAAAGGATAATAAATACATGCTTGGTAGGTGCTTACTGATGAATCGGGGCCAGAAGCTTTTATGTTAAAACCCCCCCAAACAACAAAGTGGACCTGAAGGCTGTCATAAAAGCCTACCAAGTGTACCTTAGGAATATCAGTCCTTTAAGAATGCACAGCTTTAGTGCAATTAATAGTTGCCTAAAATCATAGCAAGGTCGAATTTCCATATTATACATCCTGACCTTTTGTTTTACAAATATGCAGAGGAAAAGATCCCAATGTAAAGCTCTAGTTTACTTCTGAATCTAACCTTTACACAAAGCAAGCAAACGCTAGGATTTTTTTTTTTCCCCAAATGTAATGAAGCACTTGTTTTTCATATCAGGCAGCTTACAAAGTATATTTAATACATCTCTTCAGAGTTTCACATAGCTAATTTATGGGGCATAGTTGCATATTAGTTTTTCTAAGGTGTCATTCCACAATTCAGGGATATTGGTATCCTCCAATGAAAAATAAATTCTTGCTAACACTATCTCTTATCCCTGGCCAGTTTATTTTCGCAACAGAATGATTTGTGTTTAGTATGTGTAGATGCTGGGGGGAAAGGGAGGACACTGCCTAAGCATTCAGTGTTCCCTAAGAAAAGTTACTTTCTTTCAATCCTGCTAAAATGAAGAAGCAGACGATCAGAGCTGTAATTAGCTTCTCTTTCACAACTGAAATTTATTGTTACAAAATATAAGCAATGTGATTGAGGAAGAAAAAGAATGAAATTGGAGTGTCTTCTATTCATTCTGACAGCATCAGTCATAGCAATGGGTATCTTGCTCTTGGTATCTATTGTATGTTCTAGGAAGCAACATACTAGCATTTTTTTCCATGGTGATATAATTATCAACACTTACCAATAAAAAAGCAGGGCTAACAAATTTCCAGCACAATCTCCAGTAGAGGCCTGGCTTGAAGCCCATCATTTGTTGGATATCCTCACTGAATCTGTCCACACCTAGAAGGGATGTGAACGTCAGACTGGCGTAAATCTGAACTGATGAGATGCTGGCATACCCAAAACTATCTGCTTTTTCAGAAAGCAGACATGAATGACTTCTGAATCAGAAGGTAACAACACTGATCTCCTTTCAATGTCTAGATGTGTCTTTGACATCACTGTGTGCAAAACTTAAATGCCTGTGAGCACTTAAGGCCTGTTGCAAATAGCATTACCTTTGATAGCGGCATTTAATAAATATGTAGAATTTAAGATGTGTATGGGGCACACATTTTTTTAGTAGTTGTGGACTATTTTAACGTAATTACTCAATACAGTTATGAGTATCCTGAAGGAAAACCCTTACATGAACTGCTTACTGATAATGGGTTAGAGTCATACAATAATTTATCAAAGGAAGCTTACCTGTTCCAGTTAATGGCATATTTATCTTTCAGTGTTTCACTGAATACCACAGAATGTTCATTATATCTATGACAAATGTAATTTCATCTTTTATCACCTTTCCAAGGAACTAGAGAGATGCTGCTTTTGTTCAGTATAAATACATAGAAAACTAAATCAGCTAGAAACAGGTGGCCTTTTTTAGAGTATCCTGTGTGGTTTTGATAATTATAATACCAACTAGAATTTTCTAAAATTGTTAACCTCTGTATGCATCTAGTAGTGTAGCTGTTGTGGATACCTTGGAAGATACATGAGCTGTTCATGTCAGTAAAAACCAAGAGTAGCCAGAAATCTTAACTGCTGCGTAATTAAGACAGCAAAGGATATTGTGAAAATTGTTAAATTAAGACATAGATCAAAGATAAGTCCTGCTAATTGTACCAGGAATATAGAATATGGAGTTGGAAACATGGATGTCTTAATTCATTATTATCAAAACCTTGACAGTAACATACAGTATTTCAGTGTAAGACTTTGTATTAGCATGCAAGAAGTAATGTACAAGATTTCTATTGTAAGGAAAACTACAGAAAAGTATCACATTCAAAATCACTCATCCCACTGCAGGTAGCTAACTTTTTCACTGCACTGCAGAGCAAAGGAGGCACAGGAACAAAGTTTTTAGCAAGTGTTTAGCTGCAAAAACCCAGTTCTCAGTCTGTAATATCCCTTGAATCCATCTAGTCTGAGATTCTGTATGTAACATGTGTGGGTATTTAGTACTTATGTCAGCTGAAGTATTAGTAGCTATTAAAAGTGTAAATAGTTGCGGTAGAAATCTTCCCACAACCCGTGCAGAAAGGAAGATCCTCTCACCCCGCTGACTCTCCTTCAGAAACACTGTCTAGACCGTGACTTCAAAATCAGAGCAGATCATGCTGTCCAGGCCAAGGTGAAAACAAAAAAATCCTCAGGACATAGCAAATTCTTTAGTGGTGAATAAGGAAGAAATGACATTTCAGTCAGTGCCTTTTAATTCCTTATGCACTTTACACATTTAAATAACTGTTAACATTTGTGTCTCAGTATCTTAGGAAGCACTGCACAAGTATAATGTGCTTTCTGTGAGTGGCACTAGCCTGATCTAGCTAAATATTTTGAATCTTCTACAAGGGTATCAAGCTGTCTGTATGTGAGAAATGAATTAATATTACTAGAGTAAAAAAAATACATGTTGACTTGCATGCTTTGAAATTTCTGGTAGTAGGCTTCAGTGGGACATTTTCCATCTTCAGTATTTATTGGGACAATTATTTATGTTAAGTAATTTACTATAACTTACTATGCAATGCAAACATGCATCTTATAGTGACTGTAAAATGTCCATTTGAACTTCTTTTTTATTGATTCTATTATGGTTAGACTTATCAATATGAGGTATCTTGCAAAAGTTTAATCTAAGGCCATGCTGTTTTCCACACTGTATTTTAGAATGGGATGATTATTGCTAAATGTCCTTCATTTTCTTTAAAAAAAATAATCTCTGACTTTACACCTTAGAGACACTGGCTCACAGAGAAGTAGTTCTCTCTAGTGCAATCTGTTATGTCAGACTATTAGTTTGTGATTTATTATACTTGATGTGTTCAGGCAGTTTACTTTTAATGCTGAACCCTGTTAGGTAAACAGCAGAAATGCAGCTTTTTGCCATTTGTTAGACAGGATGTATAGTTTACCAAAAAAATTGTTTCTTTTCATGGGGACCAGTTCAGTAGGATTTATTTATTGTAAATAATTAGGACAGCTTGAGTTAGTCCTTTATAATCAGCCAGGATGTAATGTATTTACAAGGTTTTGACATTTGAGTGTAAACTTCTTTTTGATTTCCAACACCCCCTCCCCCCAATATTATGTACAGGTGAAGAAAAGTAGCCAAAAGGATCTGCAAATGCTCTTTAAATTTAATTTAATTCTATTTGCAGTGCCTTCTGTGAACTTTAAAGTGACTGAATTTCAACTGCTATGAATACTGAGTGAAATTTATCGTTTTGCTGCAGAAGGTCAAAGACAAGGACTAGATATCTCCAAAAATTTTATTTCCAGGCAGATGTACCCAAATCTCAAATAGTGCTTGGTGTTCAATTTCTACTGCAAATGAGGGATAAGTAGGCCATGCTCTCAGTCTGCTTTTTCAACAGCATGCTTTTTCAATACTCTGTCTTCAAATAACCATTCTAAGAATCGACCTGTAAAGTAGAACATAGCTATAGCTACAGATGACAGCACCTGTAAGGCTTGATTTTTTTCTAGTTCCTGAAAGCTTTTACTTTTTTTGTGTGTGTGTGATTCAGTAGGATAAACTGAAACTATGGGTGACTCAGTTACAGGGAGTAACTGGTGTAGCACACACAAAACTCCAGATGACTTGCTAGAGAGCTAGTGTTGAATATGGAAGTAATCTCCTTGTTTTGCAGTGAAAAACAAGAGATACTTACCATTTATGATCAGGTCCTAGTTAAATACACTGAACCCAAAGAGAATTTCAGTGTAATTTCTGAAGTAATAAACACAGTTATCTGAGAATGTAGACTACTGTAATGGTCTATTAAATGGCACAGAAAATTTGGCCCATTCTCTATGTACCTAACTGTGTTGTTAAGGGAATTAAACAAATATGCAAAAAAGAACAGATTAGGAAGAAAGTGAAAAGTAGATTTGGCTACAGATGCAAGTTACCCTCCTAACATTGGGATAACCTTCTTTCATCTCAGTGATGATCACAGTTCAGAATGAAAGTCTACATGTTACAAGTACCTCTGGCACTCGCTGCCTGCTAGGACTTTGTAAGTCATTCTGCTGTAAAGGCTCAGCCACTGGCTTCATATTCACTCACTTGCACAGAAGCCCCTGAGCAGGTCCTGGCCCTGAGGTGAAACTGCTTAGTGGTCATAGCTGAAATAATTCGTGGGCATGTTTCCAAAAAGTAGTCTCATAGCTCCAACAGTCATTTGGAACCCTACAAGCAATCTTTGTATGTGTTGATTTCCTCTCCCATCTTGTTTTAACTATGTGATGTGTAGTATTCTTTTATATGCTTGGAGCTTTTTTTTTTTTAAATTTGGAAAGTAAAAATTAGTTATAATGCCTGTAATGCCATACATATGATTTAAATGAATCCAAGTAATGAAATTTCTACACTGAAATAATATAGCAGTAAGAAAAAAGATATATTAAATCAATCTTGAAGTTATTTTCCACTTAATTCCTATTCCCTGTGAGTGTTACTCCACTGTTTTTTTTCTCCCATATTGAGTTTTACTTGTGTGGACATGTGTAGCAGTGTATGAGGTCACACAGTTTGTATGCAATTGAAGAGTTGCAGTGAAACTGCTTCATCGATCCATCCTATATTTTGACCCTTTAGAATTACAGTAGATCATAGAACTATTATAGAACCTCCTTTTGGAGGAGTTCTTGGGAGGTCTCTAGCTCAGTCTCTTGCTCAAATCAAGGTCAGCACAGTTCAGAACAGCTTTCTCATGGCTTTGTCTAGCTGGGTCTTGAAAACCTCCAAGAACAGAGTTAGCAAGAACTCTATGGGCAAACTGTTCCAATGTGTTGTTATTGTTATAAAGAAAAATAATTTTCATCCTTTCAATTTGACTGATCATCATTCTGTCCTCCCATTGTGTACTTCAGTAAAAAGCCTGACTCTCTTGGTAACTACTTTGTAGGTACTGGAAGGCCACTATCAGGTCCTCTCTAAGCTTCCTGAAGGCTAAATAAGCTCAATACCCTCAGACTTTCTTCACAGGGCCTGTGCTCCAGCTCCTGAATGTCTTGGTGGCCCAGCACTGGACTCTCACCAGTTTAAGAACACCTTTTTTGCTGAGGGTCAAAACCAGGACACAATATTCCACATGCAGTCTAGCAGGTGCTGAGTAAAAGAGAGTAATCATTTCCTGTAATCTCCTGGTTATGCTTCTGTTACAGCTCAGTATGCTGTTGGCCTTCGTATGCTGGCAGGTCAGTCTTCTGACTCATTTATCCTGCTGTCCACATCCCAAGCAGCAAATCTTTGAGTGCAAGTAGCAAATCCAGAAGAGTGTCACTTCTGGTTTGGCCACCTAGCATCTATGCTAAAAAGTTGCTCCTGATACCTTTATCTGTCAGAACCAGGGTCTCATCTAGATGCTTCTTTAAGTTGCCTGCAGAAGGCTTCTTCCACTTCCTGACCCTGATCAGGTGCTTTATAACAATATTCCCCATGATGCCACCCTTGCTGACCTCTGCCAGGACCCACTCAGCCATCCTGTCATCCGTTCACTACATCTGAGTTGCTCTTCTGCACATAAAGATGACACCTGCCACCTCCCTCTCTACTAACCAGCATGTATCCATCAAATGCAGAACACCAGTCATAGAAGCCTGCATCCAGGAAAAAATGAGGAAAGGCATTTTTTTTCCACATCGTTCAGTAATCATTGACATTGGGAACATGAGAAAGAAGGGATAAAAAGGATATAAAAGCCATTGTGTAGCATTCATTTGTAAATCCTACGGAGCACAGAACAAGGTATCTGTTGATTAGCTGTGTAGTGAAGTTAACAACAACTGTCCCTTTTTGTTCCTGAGTCTCCTCCCTAACTCTGGAACAATACTGATGTTCATTGGAGGTCACCCTCACCTGGTGGCAGTAAGGGAGAGACATACCAATACCATTCCCAAAGAAGGGCAGCTGTGCTAGCATGAAGATGAGAAGAACAGTAGGAAACATTTCCCAACCCCATGGCAGAGCAGTAAGCTCTCCAAGTTGGTTTGCCCTGTTTGTATTCCCACTCTGTAGAAATGCCTGCCTTTATACTTTGTCTCTCATGCCAGGCACACATCCATACAAAAGCATAGATGAGTACCAGCAGTCAGGATTTGATTAATTTCTCTCCTTTATGCAAAATCAAAGAGTTGACCTTAGATTTTTTTCAAATAAATGCACCTTTTGGCCTGAAATTTCAGTCTAAGGGATCTTTTTGGAAAGTATTTAAGTAAATGAAAGCAGTGAGATTACAGGTGAGAATGAAGCTCATACTGAGTTTATTCTAGTCATTAAGGGAGATGTTAATAGTAAAATCTGAGTAGAGATTTTCCTGCAAGTGAAACCGAAGAGCAATTTTGTGTCAATGGGAGAGGTGTTTGGCTTTTCCTAGAATATTTATCAGAGGGGTGATATCAGGGTTGCACAAGAGGAAAAATGGTAACAAGCTATTAGTCATAACTAAAATACATCTGAATACTAAACAAACTAGCTCTCCCTTTTCTCATACAGTTGGCCTTTTCAAGGAGAAACTTCACAGTAAGTGGTCATAGGTATAATTTGAATTAAATATCCATGGTTTTGGTCTGTGCCAAAATGTCAATGCTTGCCTTCAGGCTGGCTTAATATTCGGCTGGGTCATTAAGGCAGCTGGGGTCTATCAGAAAGAAAAGGTAGACAAGACTATGCCAGATTTAATCAGTTTAAATAGCACCTGGGGCTGTAATATTTTTTTATAAAGCAACAGGTCATGCTATGTCAGTAAAAACATCTGTCAGCTGCTTAAGACAAATGAATAGATATTTTCACTGTTACAGGGAGGCAGGAGGGAGAAAGGAAAAGATAATGAAGGACAGAAGGTGCAACAAATAAACAAAATTTGACTAACCATGGTTTAGTCTGTGAACCACATACAAAGCCTAGCTATTGTGAGGTGCAGTCAATCCTTCTTTAATAGTAGCAGAGAATAACTTGCCCTTGCTAACTGAAGAATATTCTTAAGCGTCCGCTTCCAAGCTAAGCTATGATCACTCTTCTGCATTCAGCTCTTTTACAGGGATTAAAGACGGTTGTCTGAAATCTAGTGCCTCCACTGTTTTGAGAGAGAACAGCATATGAGCTGCTCACTCCATGCTGATGTTGGGTGATAGCATTAATAAAGTTAAAAATTATTTCTTTAGTAGATTGAACATCTTTATGCATGAATGCCATTCTTTCACCTCACTCACTCATCAACAGTTTTTAACAGCAAGAAAGAGTTTGTTTGACTAGAAGAATATGGTGATATAGAACAGATGGATCTGTAAGTGTCTGAGGGAGGTAAATGGTAGGTAAGAATGGTAATGTCTCAGAACCTTCTGAATCATACTTTAACTATAAACACTCTCTCCAAATAGAAATGAAGCTGACTTTCAGGGGAAGAACAATCTTATTTGGAATCATAGCAGCTAGTTCAATACAGAGTTCAATGGGAAGATTTGCAGGCTGCTATGACATTGAAAGCTGGTAATAATGAAGAGAGTTGTGACCAACCAGAAAGTATAACATGAGAATTAAGAAATTAGAAAGAAAAACAAGAGCTCAAGAAACTTGGTTAATATAGCAGCAATTTCTGATACAACCAATAGTTTGGACTGTTGGAGTGATAGGACTTGTATAAGACCTAAGATGGAGAATCCTATTGCTTTATTTGGGAAAAATGAGATATTCTTTCTGAGGTCCTTACAATTTTACTAGCCCTGTCTGTGACAAGATCAAGAACTGATAGCATTCTCCCCAAAAGAAAGGAAAAATCATTTTAACTATTTCATTAGCAAGATGTGCCTAATTCAGATTAAATTATGACTTTTTTTTTTTCTTCTTGATTTGGTGATTTATAGCACTTTGTAATTTCTGCTCTTCTGCAGGTGCCATCTTTACCAGTGAATAAGTTCGAGGCTATGAATTGCCTTATGTTCCTGTATGATAGGGGAAATTTTGAACTCTTCTTCAGTCCTAGAATTTAGAAAGAACTCCTTTAGGTTGGGGGCATAAGGGAAAAGGGAAGTGTTTGAAACACTGACTTCAGATATTTCAAAACACCACACTGATTAAATACTGAATTAGGGATGGGGAGAACACTGGCCAGATACTCTCTCATAACTTTAGAATTGGAGGTTTAGCAGGCTATATATATAAAATCAAATACTCAAATATTTCTGCTGTAAGATATATTCTGTTTAACCTTTTTGTTTCATTTGAGAGGAGTAGTAGTAAACTTTGTCACTTATAGCCGAGTATTGGATATTTTTCCTTGGTGAAATTAGACAACACAGGACACTTCACAAGACTGTTAAGTTCTTATAGGCTTAAGGAATGAGCTTAGGCAGACTCAGTGTCCTGCTATGTTGCCAAAGTCAGTGTTGTGAAGGAAAGCACAACTTTAATTTGCTGGGCTTTTCCCAGTTAAGGTTATCCCAGTGCGTTCATACGGGTTTAGAGTGGTGAATGTGGCTGTTTGCCATCATTGCGGTTATTTATACAGGGGGAAAGAAAAAAATGTTTTTCTTCTTTCTTATGAAACTTGTGTATCAAGTGTCTTGCTTTTTATTTATGTTACTTCAGGGAGGAAAAAAATATTAAAGACCAAATAAGGTCAGGGAAGTTGCTTAATAAGCCGGGCACATCATCTGAGACCTGACTTAAACTGTGAGCCATATTTTTTTTCAGGGTTCTGTAGCACATCACCAGAACACTGGCTGGCACACAGTGATTCCAGCCTAGTGCCAGAGATCAACTGAATACTCATAAAGCCTGTCATGTTGAGGTTAAAGCAAATTACTGCACCCTTTTGGTGGCATAAATTAGTGTGAAATACTAGAAATAATATTATTTCTGGTATCTAGGATGGTGGGTATTCCATAGCATGTTATGAAATAAGATAAATTTTAAACCACTAGTGTTTTACAATTAAGCAAACTATTGTCTCAAAAGGGACTAATGTAGGAATTATTATAACTCTCTAAAGGCAAACTACCTTTATTTGTATTGCATGGGGAGACTGGGAGACTGGCCCTGGGAAAACCACAGAAAGGAGGAGCAGGTGAGTCTGTATTTAGGACTTCAAAAGTACAGGGTATAAACCTGCTACTGCAAGTCATCAGCTGTGTTAAGAGCTGCAAAATACTGGCAAAAGCAGTAACATTTTCATCCCATTGCAGTCTCCTTCACAAGGCAGTTTTCTTTGGCTTTGTGCAGGGTTTCAAAGGTTGGCCCACTGAATGTCTGCATTCCTGTCACTGTTCACGTATCTCATGAAAATCACTGTATGAAACCTGTCTTGTCGTGGTTCCATGTATACAAGGCTATGCTGCTTTCCCTTAAAACAATGTGTAAGCCTGTCATAAACACTTGGAATTTTAGAAGATTTTGCAGGTGCAAAAATGAAGTGCTTACCATAAAACCAGGAAACTCCAATTGCCTCCATTAGAACAGCAAACAGTATTGAAGTCCCAGCTGCAAATGTGTCCAGAAGTGTGAGCACATAAATTCCACCCTAGCATGGGGGAGTTAAGAGGCAACAAAAGGAGGTTACAAATTGAATCATCTCAGTAGTTTAGTATCTAGCTAACAGAAATCTGCTTTACTTAAAATATCATCTTAAACCAACTATTTTGATATGGAGCTGGTGCTGCAGACAGGGGTTCTTATTTACATGCAAAATAGTTGAATCAGATTTTCAACTCTTCTAAAAAACCTCACTTAGCTGGGAAACAGAAGAAGCCTCAGTTTAGCATGATTAATAAGTGCTCTTGGCGCTCAGTGTTCAGTGGAAGTTGAAGGCACTGCCTGTTGGGGGAAGTGCTCCACAGCTTGTAGGACAGGGCCTGTCCTACAGGACCCCTACAGGGCTTCTAACTACACCAGTTAATGAAGATCCTTCTAAATTATTGGCAGGGATGGAGTGCTACAGGAGTTTGCATAAGCCATTATCACTTGGTTTGTTCCTAAGGTCAATTATTCTGCAGTCCAGTGAATCTGCAGTCTTAGACTGATGTCTCCTTTTCCCAGACTGCCTGCATCTCTCTTTTCCAACGTTCCTGCAAAGGGAGCACTTGTGTGCTAAGTCTGTGTTACCCTCCCAGCATGGAAGCAGCTTTGCCCTCTTTAGTTTCACGGCTGTGGTATTAGCAAGCCTTTGCTCAGTGGAAAACTGGGTTTTGTTTCACTGATAATCTTTTTAGCTGCAGCTTGACTACTTTATGTCTCATTTTACAATGTCATGCATTTGTGTAAATTACTGCTCATTTTATTTCGTTTGGACTAACAAGGAGTGGAAGACCAGAGTATGTTTACTTGTTTCAGAATGAACATGAATAAAGTGTTTCAGGACATTCTGTGATGCAAACAACTGAAATGTTTGCAGTTGCAGATTTTCATTAAACTTTTTTTTTTTTTTTTAAACCAAACTTAATCTGACTATGCCTGTTCAGAAGGGGAAGAACAAAGCGATAACAAAGCAATTATTTTCCATGCTTTTACCAATGGTATAAATAGCACTTTTACTATTTAGATGTCTAGCTGATTCTAATCTCTGCAGTCATTCAGTTTTCTTTTTTCTTATAAAAACAAGGTTTTCTGAAACAGCTGTGCATATTTACAAAAATAGAGAAAATAGTACTTAGGCCTTGTCTAGGTTTTTAATTCGGTGGGGACTTGTGTGGAAACTGAATGAACTTTCATTGTTGTATTAGAAAGGAAATGTTGCTTATTGAATGACATTTGAATTTGACCTCTTGTTTTTGCTCTACACCTGCTCTAAATGAATGCCTTTGCTATCAAACAGTAAAGTGCATGACAAATACGATTTTGTAAGAAACATGTTTTGAAAATAGAGCCTTAAAATTTCAGAGGACAAAATAAAACAGATTAATGTGATGGTATCACAAGGGTTTTTCTTTGTATTTTGTACACATTAGAAATGTTGTTCTTCAGCTGTGTGAACCAATACATTTGGACAAGTCTAGGCAGTTTTGTGCATTCCAGATGGTGGGGTGAACTTAAGTCTAAACGGGTACCATTTAAAAGCTAGAGCTAGGTTATCTTGAACTGCTTTAGCTCTTTTGAAAGCATTGGAATTGCACCCACTGGCACCTGTTCAGATTCTTAACCACTGAGGTTTCTTCTGAACTTGTACTTCAGGAAATTTTATTCCAGTTGAAACTTTCAATAAGGAAGGAGCGTGTTCAATTCTTTAGGTAACAATAGAGATAGTGTGGTATTAAAAGGATAGGTATTTTAAATGCTAAATCTATTTTTACTGTCTCAAATGTTTTCTAGTTTGAGGAAACTAGAGTAAAAATATTGGGGAATTTAGCCTAAAAAGAGCTTTGTTATTTATAAACATATGCCATTTCAGTAATCTTAATAGACCTGGAAATTATTTCTAGGAAAGGAGAGAGGTTCAGCACATCTACTTTTTATGGTGGCTACCTCAAGTTTCAGTTGTTTTCTGACACTTTTGGCATCTTTGCTTACAGGGCTTTTTGCCTTTGGCTTCCATCCAATAAAAATGGAAGTTCTCTCCAACCTAGAACACTGTGATTCTCATCCTTTAATTAGTTGTCAACAGCCTGGTGAGGCACATCATTCAGGATGACGGTAGTGATAAATACAGGTTACTCCATGTTCAGGATAAGTTATCTGTGTGTTTTTTGTGGTGTTAAGATTAAGAGATAAGATGTAGGTACATGAAGGAACATTAAGAAACACATGTGGGTGAGGAGATCATTATTCTAAACTCTTCTCACAAGAAGTGAATGCTGCTTACTTGCTTCAAGAAGAGAACAGCCAGTTGACTAAGGGTCTGGTCACTTGAAATTCTTAGTTCCTCACACAGGAATAAGCACTGAACACAGTTCCATTTAATGTGAAAACCACCAAAACACACAAAACCAAACAAGAACAACAGCAGTACAGACAGTTTTTTGGAACAAAGACTTATAGGTTCAGTTGATAGCTAATGATCATGTGCAAAAAAGCAGAGAAGCTTCATGTAGATAAAAGTTGACTATAAAGTTAAGAATTAAAGTTAAGAATTAAAATTTATAACAAAAATAGTCACCTGAGCCTATTTGTATTTCTATCTCATGAAGTTAACTGCAGTTTTAAGGTAGCTTGTTGATGGATACTTCTGTTCTACTTACATTGGTGATGCAAAAAAGGGCTAGTAGGAAAGTGCCAAAAGACACACCAAAGGTGAAGAGCTTTCTATGCTGCTTCAGAATTTGGAAGTCATCTGCCAAGCCAGTGATGACAGCCTCCATTCCACCCATCTGAGGAAGAGAAGGCAAACTTTGGTTAAATGCTACTGACTGTTGTAAATACAGATTGAAGAATGTCAAGTAACTTGTATAATTAATTCCCAATCACTGTATGATTTCTGACATTTCTGCTCTAAGTCACTGGTGTGCTGAGGAATAATTTATTTTCTCATGGTAGAGAACTGGACATTAATTGGCATGATTGGCACATATTCTCTGTGGACCCTTTGGTGACTCACCAGGATAGTGAGTAGACAGTACTCTGGAAAAAATAATATACATGTTAATATACTTCGGGGAAAAAGCTGGTAGAATAAGTAACCAAAATCCTTGAGAGATTTCGAATATAAAGACAGACACAACAAGCACCTAGGGGAAATGTACTGAACAAAGATTCAGTTTAGCCGTTTATTAACCACATCCAGTTTGACAAAAATCTTTAGACTTGAAGAATTACTACATAGGAAGCTTGATGTAATGTTTTTTGTTGACAACATGAAAGAATTTTACTTTGTTTTCCAGAAGTTAATGCTGAACATTAGCCATTGTTTTGCAATATAGGAAAGATATTTTCCAAGTTCTCATTGAAATTGCTAGGTTATGTAGGTGGTTATGAATTAAATTTCTCCACCAATGAAAGCGTTTGGCCCCCACCTCCACCAAAAAGTTGTGAAAATGAATTCTAGTCTCTTGTCATAATAAATAAATTTATTTAACATTTGAGGAGGCTGGATTCCATGCTTTTTCTGGTGCTGAAAGATCATGGCAAAATGTGGAGTGCTTGGTGCAGTACAACAGTTGGTTAGCCTGTCCATTTCCTATCAGAATTTGATGAAACCAATGTCTCTGGTTGAAATCAGTAGCAGATTATTATTTCTCTAGAACTTGAATGATTTCTGTATAGAGCCAAATTGGTGGGGGCAGAGTACCTATTATTTTTTTAAAGGTGACTTAATGTTCACTAGTAAAATGTCCTAAGACCTAGTGTAGGTTTGTATTTCCTAGTGTCTGGGGGAGGGGCATCAGTGAGTGCCCTGCAGTTAAGGTGGGATAATATTTGATATTCTCAGAAGTCATTCTCTCCATTTCTCATCTTTGAAAATGAATGAAGTTTCCTGAAGTTGTAAGCAATGGAAACACTGGGTTTTGCCATTTCCAGCAAGAAATTCCTAGATTGGCTCTGTGCATTCAGAACTGCAAAAGAGACTTCTGTGCTTTAGAACAGTAAGAAACCCCTACTCTACTAACAATGATGAATGTTTGTTCATGGTTCACTGTTCCTTAAAGACTCCCTTTATTTTTCTAGATATTAATTAACCTTTAAGTAAAACATAACAGGATGTCTTGGTGGCTCTTTGGCAAGAGCAAAGCAGTACAGAACTTGTTAGGGGACTTGGGATATTTTCTGGGCTGAAGTTTCTGTGACAGTAGAAGTCATTACATTATGGAAAGAGCAAATACATTTGTTAGACTAGACATGAAACTGCTATGGAAATATTCTGGACTGATTTTAAAATTATGACTAAATTTACAGGAAATTCTGTATCATTGCTTGCAGAAAAAAAATCAGGCTACCTTCACACATTGTCTATCTTGAGCAGATTTATGAATTTCAGCACGTGTAAAAATGTCTTCTAGAAACCACTCTACTCTTACTGTGATTTTTGTTTTGCAAGTAGGGTTCCAAAACCTTATTTCAGGTTCATAGTAGTAATAGCAGTGATACTGAGTCATACCTTTAAATAGTAGTATTTTGTTGGTGAACAGCTCCTCTGTAAGATCATAAAAAAGCAGTGGGTAATTATTTTCTGGCTTGTAAAAGACTTGATCTTTTCTTAAACCTCTTAAATATCGAGTCTTTAAATATACTGCCAGGAGTAACACTATTGGTATGTTGGCTAGAAGGGAAACTACTCACAGAACTGTCGATGCCAAGAGTAAGGAGCATGATGAAGAATACCACAGCCCAAAATGTAGATCCTGAAAGAGTTGAAATTGCCTCTGGATACAGGATGAAAACTAACCCAGCTCCTGAAATAGAAAATGAATAAAAAAGTATTATTAAATGTTTTTTTTTAGCTTCACAAGTGTTCATTTTAATGATAAATTATGACTAAGTTGACTTTTACATCAGTCCACACCACACTCTGAGTAGCTGTTTAAAGAAAATTTGCATTATACCAAATATATATCCAAAGTACTTTAAGAATATACTCATCACAGTTTTGTATTTAAAAAAAATATATATCCCATTCTTTTCCACTTCTAATGATCTTTTATGTGATTTGCAACCTTACTAGCTATTTTTCAGCTACGTAGTAGAGAAGGAGCCATGTGGATGTGGACTCCACTGTGTGGCAGAAGAACTCTTGGATGTGATGAGAGATACAGGAACTGAACTCATGGGTGACCTGTTACTAGTAAAAGGACTCCACACCTAAGCTTACCAGAACCATCCAAAACAGTAACCAATGACACTGAACAGCAATACTTTTGTAAGATACTGTGCAGTGGTAAATCCCTGTTTGTGTACAGGCTAAACTTGTGAGGGGCAAGAGGTTGGGGAGCCTCAGTTCAGCAGAGGCAAGGTGAATCAATACCATTTAGAGTTCACATTTCAGCAAGGCATCTACACACAAGAGTTTTAGTTAATTCAGGTCAGTTCCATGAGATTTTCATACACTTGTTTGAAACAAATATAAACACATTTGCAAAGAAATGGTTAACAAAAAGGGGTAAAACTAGTAGAAGATTAACTTCCTACCTTCAGTGGCTACATCCTCAATTTTAACTTTGTGCTCATGAGCCATGTAGCCCAATATGGAGAAAATTGCGAATCCTGAGATGAAGCTTGTGACACAGTTAATGGTACTAGTCAGCAAAGCATCCCTAATGATGGAGAGAAGAACAGCCCAGTGAAAAAAAAACCAAAACCAAAAAAACCCCACTTCTAAGAACTAGAAGGGGATTGACTTATAGCAATAGGAAGATTCTTGTGAAATTGCTAGTTGTGCAATTATCCTGATGATCAAAAGCTCATATCAGCATACTATGTTAGGAAATTGCCTACTGCTGGTTACTATTTTGATTTAAAACTGAATTCTGTTCAAAAAAATTCAACAAAGGTATATTGAATATTAAGATATTAAAGAGTAATGTCATCTTCCTAGCTGGTAGACGTAACATAGCAAGAAAGTGGCCTGAAGTGAAAGAGCCTTACTATTCATCAATTCATGTGAGCAGATATTCAGGAGTATTTTTCAGACAACTCCAGGAGTGCATTTTTAGCAAACTGTGCTGCCATTCAGATGGCACTGGATAACCATCCTTAAATCTGTAATGAGGTCCCTTCATCTGTGAAGTCGGCTAGGCTTTTCTGAAAAAAATACAACTTTTCTTTATCAGATTGTTACAAGAGTGAATTTAGTTTAAAGGTTAAATATTATCCCATGTGCATAATATAGTAATGATTGTACAAAGTTATGGTTTTAATCAATCTGCCATGGTATTATGATAGATGTATGAGTTTTCCTGGGTACTAATAATCCCTATTACCAAACCTATCTTGAAGATAAGTAGGCCATAAATCTTTAGATGTCTACCTAATCTGCACAGTGTCTTGTATGTAATCTTTTGCTGTATGTGACCTTTTGAACAGAGGACGTGGCTCTGTGAACATCAGTAATGCCAAACAGTGCTTTAATAAGCAGAAAGAAAATATGATTACCTTTCATCAGTTACACTATCAAAAAACATAGGTGCCATACCCCAAATTTTATTATCTTCCTCACATTATTTTGATAACATTGAAAAATTTATGTCCTGCAATTCTTAAAGTGTTTTCCTGGGGGGAGGCTGCAGGATCAAGAGACACCAGATTGGACCCATAAAATCAAATTCTTTTCAGTTATTAAAGAAGAAAATTGCTAGGTATTTGTCACTGATAAGATGGCAACAGTAATTATTGTTCCTCACAATTCAAAAACATTCTTATGCAAGTGAATAGTGCTTCTCTTCACTTAGTGACTGGATTGTATGATGCTTATCTCATAAACTGAGCTGAGATAGCTCTCAATACTTTGCATGTAGAACTAGGTCATAATTTGTACAGATTTTCATACTTTCTGGCCCCGATTTTCATTATTGTTACCCTACCCTACATTACTGACACTATTCCTCTTGGGGAAGGTGTGTTGAAGCATAGATGGGACATTACAGTGCTGAGTCATGGCCTTCATTTGGAAACAGTACTATTTTCAGTTTGTTGTTTTCAAGAAAGCCTTTTGTATAAAATATGTGAGCACATTATAGAGTTATTTGACCAAAGGATATTTTTGAGTGTTGTAAATGCTAGTGAACTGAACCTTGCTTTTATGGTTAGAACTAAAACACAGTATTTAATGAAACTACAGATTACTCTTACAGGGAAGGCAAGGCTTATAGAGCAACATTGAACAAATATAGTAAGCTAAGAACTAAGTAATATGATTTCACATATAGTTTGTGGTGTTTTCTTAGTTTCAAGTGGATTTTTTTACATTTCAGAGCAAAATTCTAATGCAGAAAAAACCCAGTTATATAGGGAGCTGTTATGAGGTGAATGCACAATAATTTGCAGAAGGCTATAAATGTTATTTTGGAAGACTGCTATGGCTAGCCTTCTACCTGAAGGGTTCTCAAATCTGGTTATATTACCTACTGCAAATAATCAGCTGGCAAACTAAAGTTGCTCTGGTTTCAATCCAAATCTCTCTGAAGTCAGTGGAAGTATTCCATGATTTTGGCTTTCAATGTGTTTAAGGCAGTTCAAATCCATATATTTTCTTGTACCTTTTAACTTTAAAATTTTTTTGTCATCTTTCAGTTCACAATGTATTTAAAATACATGTACTTTCTGAATTTATATTTCATGGGAAAATTTAAAGCAATACTTTTTTTCATTCCACAATGAAATGTTAACAATACTTCTAAATGTTGGAAGTTCTCAGAAGGTGCAGAGCAGTTCTGATTGATTTTCCATGGCGGTGATTCAATGAAACACTTACAAACTGACTTGATTTAAAGTGCGTTCCTAAACTGGAGGTCAACATAAAATATCAGCAATATTATCCCAAAGCACAGAAACACTTCTGGAAACTGGAATCCTTCTGCTTTTAGTTCCTGGCCCAATAAGATTTCATCCTGTGTTCACTGTTGCACTTAATGGTACTGTTGAAAGGCAAACACAAGCACAGTTTACACAGCTGCCTAAAGTCCTAACCCAATCCCATTCTGTTTTGCTGTACAGCAGCTATCTTGGCAGGTTTATGTTACTAAAATTTCAGTAAGGAAGACAGTATTTCAAGATTTGGGTTGGTTGCTATGTCTACACAAGACTGACCGCCATCATTAATAAATGACTGAAGATAAAAAGATAACAAGTACTTATTCCAGCTGAAGTTAAGGTAAAATAGTATCATTCTGAAGCAGTAATGAAAGAATAGGCTGTCTTACCTGTAACAGTTGTTGTCAAACTTATTGTAACTGGCAAATGCAATTAAAACACCAAATCCAGCTCCTAAGGAGTAAAATATCTGAGTAGCTGCATCAATCCATACCTGCATAATGACACCAACATTGTCAGTGTCAATTCAGTCCAAAAGATAGATCAGGGAAATGCAAGAAGTGTACAAGACATCTGGTTTTTGAAAAATAATCAGCATTCATGCTTATGGGGGTGTAAGTGCTTCTCAACCCCTATGAGATGTCACATGGAGCACAGTCATGGTCTGGAATGGCTTAGCCCGAAGTGGTGAGGGCTGAAGCAGTGGGCAAGTTCTCAGTGCATGCATACTGCTACCACAGTGGGGTGTACCGGTTGGATCTGCACTTCTGAGCTTTTACTGAGTACTGAAATGATTACATGGGTTTTCTCCCGGGTGACAGAAATAGACTTCCAATAGTTCTTGTTCCAAGTTAGTTTGGAATGTACAACCAGAAAACTAAAAATAGTTAATGGGTCAAGAGTTACAGGACGTTTTCTTTCCCATAAGAGAGCTTTCTTCATGGGACTATTAGTACACTTTATATGATGCTTTCTTGTTTCAGAAGCAGAAGCATGACTGACATGCAGTGAACAGAACCATGCAGGCTATCTGTCACCTTTCCCACTTAGTTGGAGAAGGAGCTATTCCTGTGCTAGTCTCTAAATTTCAGTGTAAATGCAGTTTGCTCATTTTAAGAATCGTCCACTATGGAAAACATGTTTTTAATGTGATAACATTTTCTAAAGTGGCCCTCCAGCCCAACATCCACTCAAGATGTGCAGATAGTAGTCAGGAGCAATGCAACAGTGTTGGTCTCCTGAATCAGAAGACTGAAAATAGTCTACCCTGATTAATGAGGGTTTCACTTACTCAGTTGTTAACACAGATATTTAAACAAGCATCTTCAACAAAGGTAATGAAGTCAATGGAGTGAATAATACTCAGCATTTCTCAAAATGAGATCTTCAGTGTTTCATTAAATCTACCAAGTGCTTAAGACTGCAGAAAGCACTGGATTTCATCTCACACATCTCTACAAAATGACATCCAATGTATCTGTTCAGCTGCAGCTTTTGAACAGATCTAAGCAGCTTATGAGCTTCATCTGCATTGGGATTTTAATGCTAAGCTTTCATATTTGGCCCAGTAGAAAGAAAGAGTGCCTTATCACATCTTAACAAGATATTTGAAAGCACTTCTACTTTTTTCTCAACACAGATGATAGATGCTTTCAACTACTGCCTGTTGAAGACTGTGAACCATTTATTGAGCTCTGGATTTGTAGATAAACTTAACTTTATGAACTGTTGAGAGTTAATTATTTGAAAGATATATGAAGAACAATCATGTGTTTATTGCAAACCAGTGGATGGGTGAATATGACTTTTCTTAAATTGCAGTTCATACACAGCTTTTAGGTATCATGGATTTCTTTTACTAAATAACAAACCAATCCTGTAAAAGTAATCTCTTGCTCATTCATTTTATATGGTCATTTACAGCTGAATGTTCTAGCTCCCCACAAAGGTTGAGTTCCAGTATGGATCAGTTGAGATCCAATAGGGTTGTACTCTCTGAACAGTAAGAGTGCAGAAGCAGGGATGCAAAGCTTTCTAGAATTTTTCTTGTTTTCTAAAACTTCCCATAACTTATGTTGTTTAATGAAGTTCCTGAAATTTTTAAAAATAATTTTTGCTTAAACTATAACTAGATCTGCATGCTGCCACCGTAAAGCACTTGTTTTCATTGGTTCTCTAGCTCTCTTGTGTCTTGCCAGTGGAGTTGCACTCATTATACTTTCCCTTTCTTACTTTTCAAGCACCATTAAGCACGTGCTTAAGTCTTATTGATTCAAATAAGAGGTTAGCACCTGCTGCTTACCAAAGGAGTTATGCATATGCTTAAATATATATTTCGTAAGAGTCTAGGAAATAAATTGAGAAGATCAAGGTGAAGGGGAGAAAAGAGCAGAACTAAGATTAAATGCAAAACGTTCCCTTTGCTATAACAAAGTAGGCCGTGAAACAGAAAGTGGGGACTGGTTCTTCTGCAGTTTATACTTATGTTCTCTGTTCACTTCAGCTGAATGGCTTCTGATTGATGCATAGTCTAATATATTTTATGGTAGGGTATTGTTTTTATATGCATTCAAAATGAAAAAATTAAAAAACATTTTATGGGAGACAGTCATCAGTCTTTCTGGCTTTCTTCAGTTATTTATGCCACTATAACTTTTGTGCATACTCTTTCTTGTGTATGTGGATTTAAAGAATTATTGTGCTGTGTGGAGAGGAAACAGTGTGTGCACCCCGAGATGTTATATAATCTTCAGGAAGCTTGTCAAAGCGTATGAAAGAGCAAGTGACTTCCTCATGTCTTATTTAACTCTGTATTTAATGCTGATTCCTTTAGCAGAACAGAAATGTAGCTGCTGTTTTACACAGATGTTTAATGTATCCATTTATACAGCAGAGTACTAGGACTTTGTAGCTCCTGGACTCTGAGCAAGGAACATGGCTAGGCGTTGGTCTAGTTAAGAGGTCCTCAGGTGAATATCTTTCTTTCCTTTTTATAGAGACACCCTTTGTGGATTTAATATACCTGAAAATTGAGGTGTCTTAGGGCTTGCTCAGTGCTGTGGCCCTATAAAATGAGGCAGACCTTGACACTGATCAGGATGTTCTAACATCTTTCAGCAGAGCCCTCTGTAGGTCATTACTGTTTGTGACTTATGATGTTTCTTTCTTAGATTCTTCATCTGAGAGAAAAAAAAATCATCAATCAGAAAGATTAAGGGTGTGTTCACACAGAACTGAAGCAGGAGTCTATTCTCTGGAGCCTGAGAAGAGATACTAAACACACAAGCCTGTTGCAGCATCGGGTATCCCAGTCTCCGAGCAGGAGAAAGGCTGACATGACAAAGCAGTTTGTGAAACTTCTCCTTATAACTGATCTTTAGTCTTTTATTATTCTAGAGCAACTCATTTTTTTGTTGTCTGAAAAATTTAATCTTAGAAACAAATAACTTTAGGGTCATCCAAATAGCAGCTGCAGAAATACTAAGCCAAGAAAGAGCAGTGCACAGAATATCCTTCCAAAAGCAGAAGGCAGCTATGATTATGGAGGCCTAGATTCTGAGCTGATGCAAGTTGGCACAGGTCCATAGACATCTAGTTGAACTTGTGATGTTTTTTTCCAAACAGCACTTAAAATATAGAAGAAAAAATTTAAGCACCTCCTTTGTTCCTCTTTGCATCTTTGTGTTTATGTATATGCATAAATGTGGATTACTGAGGTGGCTACTGCCTTGGTGACAAAGGCGGATGAAAGTCCCGTATCTGAAATTTGGTTTGACTGTTTGAAAATAGAGTGAGATGGGGTCTAGGTTCTGGTGATAACTTCTGTTGAAGAAATGGCAGTTTCCAAATTTAGTATTACAAAACCAAGGAAGGAGTGTTTTGCTAAGAATATATAAAATATATCTGTATTCTAGCACTCAAAATGTTTTTAATTATTCAGAAAAAAATCAAGATAGGATGCATAGGAAATATACAGTGCGACTATGTACAGATTACAGACATCTCTGAAAGCTGCAAATTTTCAAGACAGTTCATTTCCTCCTAGTAGAACTATGTCCTCGCTTTTCAGTTTTATAACCATTTGAATGGCCTCATGACCCATCCACAGATATACCACCAATTTTATAAATTATTTATGATATTCTTAGAATAGCGTAGTGGTAAGATCTCTCTGTAGTCAGCAGATCATTGTTCTTCATAGGTGTGAAATGCCGGTAACTTCATTAAGTTAGTGAGTATACTTGTAGATCTTGCTTTACAATGGATGAAATAATTCTTAGTTCCAAGGTACTCCACAAATTGAATTTGTTTGGATGTATTTAGTGATTCTCTTGCAATGTTGTTAAATGATACAGTGAAATGTACGTTACTTTCAATAGTAAGTTAATAACACCATACTGCTGAGAATCTCCTTCATATGGAGTACTATGATTTGATTCTTAGCCTTTTGAGAACTAAATTTTTGTATGACTCAGTTTTCAGGTAGAAAGGATACTGCAATTTACAGGGTGCACAGTCAGAGCATGGACTTTTTAAAGGGACTGCCACACCCGAAACTGCCCTCCTACAGGTATTTTGTAATCTGAACAGTTTGGCTTCAGGCGGTTAGGGAGAGGGTTGGAAAGTTAGACTGTCAGGGACAGTTCTTAAGCAAAAGGAGAAGTGTGGCTATATAATCTCAGAAATTAGATCTAACATTTTCATTTTTAACAGCAAGGCCAACAGGTTTAATAATAATAAGGGAATGAGAGCAAAGAGTACACTTACTGTGGCTTCTTTTAATCTTCTGAAATCTATGTGCAGGTATGCATTTATTCCATTGTATGCACCAGGCAGGGTTATTCCATGTATTAACAAGACAAATAATACAACATAAGGCAATGTGGCTGTTATCCAAACAACCTGCAGACAACAGAGATCCCAAAGGTTAATCAGCTGTTACAGAAAGTTTAAGAATGTGTGAAAAATATAGCTGGGACTTTCTTGGTTTTGTCCATTCAGCTTGATGGAGAAGCTCTTTATAGCATGTCTTGGGTGGAAAATGCTGTTATATACCATGAGTCTTTACGTATGTATATTTACAGATACCAGTAGGAGACAGTTTTAGCAAACAGAAGATTTGGAGTGCTTATACATTACCAGTGTGCGTTAGACTGATGATTAGTTGTTCAGTTATATGTTCATTTGCTAAACAAGTGCAGTCACTGCCTGATGTTAGGTGATGCTTTTGTGAAAATGTACAAAAAGCTTTCAGATGTATCCAACCCTAGAATTTCTGTGCGGGTGTTTTCTGAGGGATGTCAAAGAGTAATTTCAAGTTACGTTCATCAAATATTTCCCTTGTCATGGCATTTTTTATAATGAACCCAAAGCATCTTAAACCATTGAAACATTACTACATTTGGCTATGAATAGGAGGCAGATTTCAGACAATTTAAAATCCTTCAAAATATTTTCTGGATGCGACTGCTAATGTCAAATTGAAAATAATATGCTAATAAATTTTCCAGTTGGAACATCACAAAAGCAAAATATAAAATAAAGCCTGAACTGGAATTGTGTATTTCCACTGCACATATATGAAGGCCTCTCACATGGTTTGGTACCTGAGGATCCTTAGAAGCAGTGATTTAGTGTCTTACTTTCTAAAATTAGGATACTTCTTAAAGGAGACAAAGTAGTTGAGATAAAAGGACAGTATTAGCTCTACCTTTCCTGAAGTCTTCACTCCTTTCCACAGACTAAAGAAAAGAATGATTACCACCACCAAGAGGCAGAGGGAAAGTTGCCAGCGAGGCAAGCCAAGGTCATGGATTCCACGGCTTTCGTGCAGGTGCAGAACTCCTCGCCTACATACCAGATACACAGAAACAAAGCAAAGTCACTGGGGGAAAAAGGCTTTTGCATATCTCATCCTGTGGGCAGCAGAAATGGATGCAGTAATAGCTGCCCTACTGACATTACCAGCAGTTCCTGAAATCTGTTTTGTAAATCCATGTCCTGTGCTTCTTCCCACAATGCTTTTATGGTTTCCCTGATCACCAGACTCTGTTTAGCACCATAGTGCCATAATGATAGCATTTTCTCCTTCACTGGAAGTGTTTTGGGATTTTGTCATTGGGATTCTTGCTTGAACACTGGACAGATCCCCAGAAAGGCTGCAGAATCTCCATCCTTGGAGATTTTAAAACTTGGCCAGTGGCGACCTTGAGCAAACTGATTTACTTTTGAAGTTAGCCTTGCTTTTGTGTAAGGAGTTGTATTAGATGACCTTCAGAGATCTCTTTCAACCAAAATTATTTTTTGAGATTTTAGATAAAGCAAACAGCTGGCTTCCTGCAACTTGAGTAGTTCCAAAGTTACTTTCAATTTCTTTTTGAATAGGCTGTTGTGAGGCTGCAGAAAAGTGGTTGGATAGGAAATGCAACAGTCAGTAAATTTAAATTGGATATAGCGCTTTGTGTTGTTCATTGAGACAGTATAGCAATAGCAGAGGAAATTCTTACCAGGGCAGGCTAGTTTTTTTGAGATCTATACAGTCAAACGGATTGAAGTGTAGAAAAGAGTGTCTTCATGACTAGTGATACCTACAATTTAGAGTTGACAAAACACATTCTGTGCAACGGGCACAGGGATATGGGAGAGATGTTATAGTGGATCTCCCTTTAACTCAGTTCTCTGCTATTGAAGTGTCTCTGCTTTTACAAATCTAGAAAAAGCAGAAACATTTTGCTTTACTGAAAACTCTGTTTGCAAAGAGGAATGGCATTGCAGCTGAAGCCCTGCACTGGAGGTGAATTGCAGATCTAACTCCTGGTTCTGATACGGATCTACAGGATGGTGGCTTAGGGATTCATTTTCTTAAGTGCTTCAGTATGAATCCAGATAAAACGGTCACGACCTTCCCTTGTTTCCTCCCCTTTCTCTATCGCCTTTTATTTGCTGTGCACTGCCTGGGTAAAATAGAAAGTTGATTTTGTCTCGGCTTCTCTTAGCACCATTATAGTACAAACAAATCAAATGAAAGAAGCCCTCTTCCCTGGAGGACCTTGACATATTTTATGAAGTTAATTATATTTTAGAGAAACTGAAGCACTGAGTGATTTACTTTGCATGACTGCAGACATGTAGAGACTAAAGCCTGAGGACACTAATTCCAGCCCCATTGGCTGTCCCCATACAATCTCTTGATAGATGGTGCTTCAGAATTAACTTAAGCACTTATCAAGTCAGACATGAGTGAGATAGTTGAATAAGTTCCAAGATACAGGGCAAACCTGTGTCAATTTAAATGGGGAAAACTGAAAAATACCTCTGTACTACTTACAACTGTAGAAATGTGCTGGGAAAATAAAGGCACTTTAGAACAATCCATCTAGTAATATGAAAGAGCTGCATACAATACCCTTTTGATCCCTAAAGCATCAAGATGGGATCAGCTAAGAATTGTAATAGTTCTCTGTAGTTTCTCATGTATAATAAGAAATGCTGTATTTTTGTTTCTATGATTAATCCCAGGTTGGATAAAAGATAATTGTAGAGCATCATCCTAAATAAGCAGCTGATCTGTTTCTGTTGCATTGTAAGGCTAATAACAAGTGAGGTTTTAAAAAGGTAGTGACCATATGTTTGTGGCATATATTCAATAATATTCCTATTTAGAATGTATGAGGTGTTTAACTCTTACTATACAACAGTATGGCTATATGACAATATAGCTGTTACCTGTGAAAACAGTAAAACATAGAGGCAGGCTTATTGAAATCTCATCTAAAAATCTATTATCTTTAGTTAAATGTAAATAAATAGATAGGTCTCATTCAACTTTTGCTTAGAGTGTGAATGAAAGCTACTTGTATTTCTGCTAATAAAGTATAATTTGCTAGAGGATCCACAGGTGTAAGGGAATCCTGGGCAGGGATGCCTGATTTCATTCTAAACTTACCAGCTTGGGCAATGATAAGTATAACCAGCAAAAGCTTCACAGGTTTCTGGTCAGAACATTTGTCCAGGATCTTGGGAGAGTTTTGACAATCTGTGCTATCAAAGTTACACTGCTATTGCTATCAGAGCTGGATGTTGTAAAGAAAGTCTTTCAGATTATTCTATGTAGATATCTGCTTGGAAGAATTGAATCTGAACTTGCATTCTTTGTGCCTATTTAACTTTTTATTCTTCTTGCCCAAATATTTTCCTGTGTAAAGAAGCCTGCTTTCGTTGTGTGTTTGCTTTCCAAGAAGCAGCTAGCAATGTGTCTTGTTGTTTGGAACACTTGCCAGAACTGCCATTTCAAATGCGGGATTCCCAGGGTTTTCAGGAGAATCTCCATTCCAAGAGTTCTGCTTCCTTAATTAGGGCAAGGGATCGTAAAATAGGAAGAAAAAAATACTTCTGTAACCACTCAAACCAGCTGTGTAACTGGGCAGCTATGCAAGGAAATCTTCATAGACAGCTGTTTCTGAGCTGTAATTCTGTCAGGTTTTGCTTCCTTTTCCTTTTTTTGTTTTGTTTGGTTTTGTTTTTCTTTGTGACCTCTGAAGATAAGTCATAGAAGCTTTCCAAAAGATGCCCTTTTTGAGTGTTGCTGGGAAGTAGTTCATAAGTGCTTACCTATGAGAAGCTGTATTTCTGTTACAGCAGCACCATAAAGCATAGAAGATCTAGTGCTAGACTGCAATTGACATTAAGGTGTGCTGACATCTGAAGAGATGGAAAAGAGAAGCAGTGGCCAAAGTAACCAACAGACTAAACCTTCTTGATTTGAAGGATATAGATCTGTAACGTTCTTTGAAAAAGAGTCAATTTTGGAGAACAGCAAATTTGAAAAGAACTTTGCATTCATCATTTTCTTCCAAGTTAGCATACATCAGTGATGCTATAGAAAATCCAGTTAGCTGAATTACGCCATAGTTATTCTTATTTGACATCAAGGAATACATATTTCAGGAGCATATGTGGCTGTTTCTAGCCCGTCTATGCTAAGGCAGGTTGAGTGATAAATCCCTGACTGGCTCCTTTAGATTATACTCAGCTGCTTCCTTCATACTCATCGCAAAGAGGAAAATGTGAAGTAAGAGATACTGCAGGAATCCCCATTCAGGAAGCTCTGAGGTCAAAACACTTGAATTTTCAGCCTTTGATAGTACAGCAGAATAATGGCCAAGGAAACCAGAGGAAATACAGCACCAACCAGTTATCAGCCTCTGTTGTTTGTCAACTTCTTTATGTCCAAAGCTACTGAGAATGTCTTAAGTAAAAGCTTCTGAAAATGATTCTTGTTTACTAAGTATAAAAATATTGTCCAATTCTGTTAACAAAATAAACTCTCATAATTCTGAACGCTGAGAATTCTTCAAACAGTAAGGAAAAATTGGAGGCAGTAAGACAACAAGAATTAATATTTTGCCTGCAGGTTGTTGTTATTGAGAAAAGAATGAAACTAGATGAGAAATACGTGCAAAAAGGAGAAGAAAATGTTATGGGGGAAAGACTGACAATAAACAGTAACAGATGGGGCTGACAGAAGCTAGAACAGGGATGTATTATGCTGAGCAAAATACAAGAGGAGCTAATAAATTGTTTCAGCTTTTTGATCTTCTAGTCAGAGCTCTAGCAATATTGAGTTAGTACAGCACCAGAATCAGAGAACATGCACTAGAGATAAGAAATTGCCTTTAAATCAGGGCTTTGTGCAAAGGAGCCTGATTTATGCTAAGACTGTTTTCCATGTAAGGGAATGTAAATTACATTTGCAGTGACTTTGAGACTGTACATCACTGTTAATATGGTTCCCAAGAGTCTTTCTGCAAGAGGAGGAGGAGTGTGAAGGGATTTCAGATTGAAGCTGCATTCAGAGATTCTGAATTCTCTCTTTGGGAGATTTCCCCTTGTTCTCTCCTTCCCTGTGCTCTCTGCTGGGTAGGTTCTCCTAGTCAACCAATAACTCTGGCACCAATTCTTGCCTTACTTCCACACTGCATTTAGTCAGCTAAAGGGAAATAGTTCACCTCTGCTGAAATCAGAAAACGGCGATTTGTTTGTTGGTACCACTGTCTTCTGTATTGTCTTTGTGCAGCACTCGGGTCCTCTTTAATTTGGTGTCAGAGTGCAAAGAGCCAACAGGAAGCCCAGCTGATCGGTATGCACACACAAACTCTACTAAAGACAAATTATTGAGGAGGCAGGGAGCAGCTGCTCGGTGGGACTCAGTAGATGAAGGATCCAGTCATAGTTCTAATAATGTTGGAACCAATTACATTCTTCTCTGTTTTAGTCTTCCCATCTATAAAATAAGGATTATTATAAACCTTTGCTTTGTCTACACTTTGAGCAATTCAGAACATACTATTTATGGAAGTGGTGAGTATTTGAGTATAAACAGGGAACCAAATCAAAGGCAAAATAAATGCCAAGGGTCATGATCTGAAAATTACTGAAAATACACTCCAAAACATTTAATTACATAACCAGAAAACAGGAGGTAACAGTTTTGGTTGTAGAAGTCTCCTAGACTTTTTTTGTCAGACTGGTTCTTTCTAAGGACTTTTTAAGGGGCGTTTTGTATTAATCCCTAGGCAGATTCACATGATTGTATTTAGGAAATTTAGGTTTTGTACAAACAGATCAAATTAAAGGTGTTGGAGTAGGCCTCATTTTTCCAGTCTCAAATCAATTATAACTTTAGGTTTCAATCCAAATGATGCTTATTCTTTCCCTTTTTATTAAAGTCAAAAGTTATTTGCTAAACTTGATGTGATCAAGAGAAGGGTGTCATTCATCTAAACAGTTGTTTGATGTGTTGTATCAGATTTATTGACTGCAAAAATGTCATCAACTTATCAGCAAATTA